TATTAAACAATTCCTAATTGATTCAATAATTTAAAAAAAAATTGTACAACATATGTGGAGACAGATTTCCCATTAAGTTGATGTTGGCTTAGTTAATAATGTTTCCAGTTCATTAACTGGAGTGCCCTGGTGCAGAGCTCTGCTTGCTGTCCTGGGCTGCTGCTCCTGCACACCGGCATTGCAGGGAGCCTGCTCAGCACTGCTGTCACCTGCGTGGGCTTAGCCACAGCACCTCATGCCCTGAGAAGTAAAAGGCCATGTTTTTCCTCACCTTTGTGCCCCTTGTGAGTTTAGATTGGATGCTAGGGAAAAATACTTCAGATAAAGGGTTGTCAAGCACTGGAATAGGCTGCCCAGGGAGGCCGTTGTGTCACCATCCCTGCAAGTGTTGAAAAGATGTGTAGATGTGGCACTTGGAGACATGGTTTAGTGGTGGTAGACATGGCAGTGCTGCGTTAATGACTGGACTTGGTGATCTTGGAAGTCTTTTTTAAATGATTCTGTGATTCTCTTCTGCCTCTGGCAGAAGGCTGGCCTGCCTTTCCAGGCTGACCAAGTGGTGGAAGTAACATGGATGGCATCAGGCTGTGGGAGAATGGACACAACACCTTGCAGAACACTGTTTATGACTGGGTATAAACCAGATTTCAGACACGCAGGTTTGAAAAGCTGGAAGGAGGAATATTCCACAGGTAATTCAGAGGAACATGTGGGAGTTTTTCTCATGGGATTTCAGATGCAAGCTCACTGCTCTGAAACAGCCTTGGAGGGCCTGGCCTTTCTCCATGGACTGCAAAGGGAGCACAGAAGATGAGCCTCACTGGACTAAGCCTATACTTTGTGAATGCCATGAGCACTTTCCTGGAGAAAGGACATTCTGCAGAGGCGTTCTACCACAACACCTCAGATCCACTGCTCTAGGGGAAATTTGTCAGCTTTAATGTCAGCCCATGGAGCAACTGGTAGCTCTAAATCACCCCAAAGAAAAACAGTTGTTTTCATTTAAGACTTTCCAATTAAGTGTTTTAAATTTTTTTTCTTTTTTCAGGATACAGATTTTTTTGTTTTAAATTATGTGGGCTCTTATTGTGTTTTAATCTACTTTGAAATTGATACTATTGGAATGAGCAAACATTACTGAAAACATTGTACATCACTTAAATAATGCACAGAAGGTAATTCCTAGAGCAATGGCAGATGAGTCACAGGGTAGATTACATTCACTATTGAAAAGAAAGGATACCAAAACACAATGCTTTGCTACTAATCTTTAGAAAAGGAGATGATACGTCCTAAAGTCAAAAGAAGAAACAGAAGAGCTATTAGAATAAATTAAAAATTTAGCATATGTCAATATCATTGAACTAAAGGATGCTAGGTAAGCAAGAACTGAATCAGTATGGCTGAAATTAGGGTTTTTTAAATGCTGTTTGACCAAAGATGCATCCTCACAATTTATAAATTTGATCCAATGCAAAAGAGGGCTAGTAATCCCTGGTAATTGGTGTGTACAAGATTGTATGATCTGTACTGGAATGTGAAGAGCAAATACTTCATATAATCACTGTTCGTTGTACGTGTACATCAGAAATACAAAGCCTCCAAAAATTTGATTTGTCTCATATTACAAAGAATAAATCAGACAAATTACGATTTTTGCATCAACCTTCATCTAAGAGGTTTGGTTCCTTCTGCCTGGGGATTGCATGCTCCCGGCATTTAAGATGACCTACTTTGAGGGAGAAAAAATACAGAAGCAAAATGGAGATGAAATTATTGTAGATTATAACCTCTAAATAGTAAAGAGAGAAATTCTGAGTAACATGAGTGTTTGCAGGGCCTTGCTCTGGGACCAACAAATATCTGGAAGACTGCAACAGACCCTAACTGGTGCTGAGGCTACAAAGGGAAATGTTCCACTTCTCTTACACATTTTTAATGTGGCTAAAGCCGGTGGGCAGCCAGAAGTAGAGGTGTGATGTGAAAATGGACAGGAGATGCCTTTTGTTTTTCAATATTTGACAGTCATGGGATCCAGTGAGAGTGTGGTGAGCACCTATTCCCACAATATGGCACTCTTCACCTTCCCAGAGTCTGCTTCAAGTGTCATTTCTTGTCCTTCCCCACAAATGAGACAGCAAAGTTTGCACAAGCTGCACTGCAGTCATTTGAAGCCAAACAGGTGTTCAGCGATTCCTAGCAGAGCTTCCTTCCATCCTGGGTGACTCCTATTCAAGGAGCTCATTTCTTCTCAAGAGGTCCTTGTAGAGACATCCCAGGTGGCTTCAGGAGTGGAAGGTGATATTTCCTGCCAGCTGTGCCAAGGGGCTTGTGCAGCAAAACTCCTCAGTGGGGTGCACTGTCTGGGGATAAATAATCCTTCTTTGCCACCTCACAACCTTGGTGTTGTCCTTGTTTAATACAGTCTCACTTAAGTTCCTGTCATTCTGGAAATGCTGCACAGAAATGCTGCAGGATTGTAGCTGATATAGTTTGTCCTGTTCAACGTTTATGCTGCAGCCACTGGCCTTCCATCCTGCCCAAAGCATTTGTCTGACCCAGAACTGAAAAACCAGCCATGTCACAGCTTCCGGCCTTGCCAGCGTCAGACTCCATCCAAACCACACATGGTGGATGTTCCTGCAGCTCAGTATGGACCTGCTAAAAGGGAATGTCAGCACACACGTGGCTCCACTGATTCCTCTGTGGGTGAAACTGACTGTTGATGCAGTCAGCATCAGCAGGGAAGACTGGGAGGATCATGTTGGATCCCCTCACATCTTCCCTAGCATAGTGAACTGTTTGCCAGCTAAGCCTTTTTGTTCATGGCTGTGTTCCTTAGTCTTCTTGTTAGGAACTGTTCTTATTGTGAATGGGATTTTGTCAGAAAAGTTGGTGGAAGCACAGCCAAGAGGATGGTCAATGCACAGTAACAGCCAGAGGACAGTTACAGCCATAGTAACACGCAGGACATGCTTGGTAAAAGTTGTTTGTAACTTTGCTTCCCAGGTCCAAGTCCCTTCTCCTTAGATTCCTGAAGGCTGGGAATGTCTCTTTACTGAATACACTACTAAGAAACTAAAACAGCAATTAAATAATTGAAGTATCAAACGAAGGCAAAATCAGGTACTTCTAAACGCATTATTAACAAATACTATTTTGACACCAAGAATTTAAATCCTTTCACATTTTCTTGAGGCCAAGTCTGTACCCTATGGGTGGGATGCTGTCTGTTCCCTATGGATGCTGTCTGTACCCTATGGATGGGATGCTGTCTGTACCCTATGGGTGCCGTCTGTTCCCTATGGATGGGATGCTATATGTTCCCTGTGGATGGGGTGCTGTCTCTTCCCTATGGGTGCCGTCTGTTCCCTATGGATGGGATGCTGTCTGTTCCCTATGGATGGGATGCCGTCTGTTCCCTATGGATGGGATGCTGTCTGTTCCCTATGGATGGGATGCCGTCTGTTCCCTATGGATGGGATGCTGTCTGTTCCCTGTGGATGGGGTGCTGTCTCTTCCCTATGGGTGCCGTCTGTTCCCTATGGATGGGATGCTGTCTGTTCCCTATGGATGGGATGCTGTCTGTTCCCTGTGGATGAGGTGCTGTCTCTTCCCTATGGGTGCTGTCTGTTCCCTATGGATGGGATGCTGTCTGTTCCCTATGGATGGGATGCTGTCTGTTCCCTATGGGTGCCGTCTGTTCCCTATGGATGGGATGCCGTCTGTTCCCTATGGATGGGATGCTGTCTGTTCCCTGTGGATGGGGTGCTGTCTCTTCCCTACGGGTGCCGTCTGTTCCCTATGGATACTCTCTCTGTTCCGTGTCCCTCGGCTCGAGCGGTCCCTCTTTCCGCCGCCAGGTGGCGCGGGAGCGCCGCGGGAGCCGCCTGGGGCCGGGGACGCGCTCCTGGCGGGAGCACCCTCTGGCTCGGCAGGGATACGGGGATTTTTGCCGTGGCGCGGGCCGTTCCGACCCCGGCATCCCACCCACAGCAATGCCGGAGTAAGGATAAAGGCTTCAGGCGCTCCGGAGGCTGAGCCTCGCAAGGCAGCGCCGGCGGCGGTGCCCGCCCGAGGCCGCGGCGTGGCTGCAGCTGTCAGGCGCTCGCCGCCGTTCGGGAAAAGCCGATGAAACAAAGAGCAGTAAGTCATTTGTAAGTTCCCTTTGCGGCACCCAGCAGGCTGTTTGAGCGGTGTAAGTGCTGGGCCAGAGCCCGGGGACGACTACCCGGAGCTGCCCCACCGCCTTCCTGCCCGACACCGACCCGCCCGGCCAGCACCGCGGAAAAGAGCAAATCCTGGAGGTGTGAGACCAGGTTTTATGGCTGGAAGAGGATCTCGCCGGTGCAATGGCGAAGGATGCATCGGGAAGAATGTGGCCAGCAGGTCAAGGGGGAGGGTCCTCCCCCACAACTCAGCGCCTTTGGGGCCACATCGGGAGTGCTGTGTCCTCAGTACAAGAAAGACAAGTTGCTACTGGAGAGGGTCCAGTGGAGGACCACAAGGATAATTAAGGATGTGGAGCACCTCTCTTATGAGGAGACTCCAGGAGTTGGACCTGTTTAGTCTCTTCAATGCATATAAATATCTCCAAGGCAGGTGCCAAGGGGGTGGTGACAGGCTCCTTTCAGTGCCGCTCAGTGACAGGACGAGGAGCAATAGCCATAAACACAAGTTCCCCCTCAACATGAGGAAGAACTTTCCTTGGAGGGTGGGCAGAGCACAGGAACAGGCTGCCCTGGCAGATCATTGAGTCTTCCTCTCTGGAGAGATTCCAAACCCACCTGGACGCGTTCCTGTGTCACCTGCTCTAGGTGGCCGTGCTTTGGCAAGGGAGGCTGGCTCGGATGGTCTCCAGAGGTCCGTTCCACCGCTAACCGTTCAGCGCTCCCGCGAGGCGTTCCGGCGTTCCGGCGCCCCGAGAAGGGGGCGGTGGCGGCGCTGGGGCCGCCCCTCTCCGCCCACTGCGGCCCGCCCAGGGCCCGCCCGGGGCCGGCTCCGCAGCGGCGGCCGGAGCTGCAGCCGCCGCCCGCCCGCCGCAGCGCCGGCGCTGCCGCCGTGCCCGCCAGGGAAGATGGCGCCGTCCCACGTCCTCAAGTGTTGCCAGAAGGTGCTGGCCTGGGTGCCCGTGGCCTTCATCGCCCTGGTCGTGGCCTGGTCCTACTACGCCTACGTGGTGGAGCTGTGTGTGTGTGAGTGGAGCGGGAGGGTCGCGGCGCCGGGAGCTGCCGGGCGGGCGGGCAGGACCCTCCGCCGGCCGCCCCCTCCCCTGCGCCCCGGAGGGCTCGCTGCTCCCTGCGCCCCGGAGGGCTTTCGCTCGGGCGGCGGAGGAGACCCTGCCTCGGGCTCCCTCCCTCCGGCTGGGCTTACCTGTTGTCCGCCGCCCTCAGGTGCCTCATGGTGGCGGGGTCCCGGCCTGGGGCCGCCTGTGGGAACGCGAGGAGCGGATTCAGGGGAGAGGAGGAGGCCCGGGGTGCTTCATCTGGGGACAGGGACATCTCGAGAACTCAGCCCCTCGTGTCTCCTCGTGAGGAGTTTCCCCTCTATTTTACTGTTGTTCATCCATCTGATGTATCAAATAACTGCTTAAGGGTGTACAGGGGATTCCCCTTCCTCCTTTTCATTCAGAAGCCCGGTGCCATTGAAGCATTATGAGGCTGGAAACATCCAACTTAAGCGAGCTGGGGACAGGATTTAAGTCTTACGGGGTTTTGTCAGGCCGTATCCAGGCTTTCTGGACGAGGACTCGTCTTTATATAAATCTGACTTGCAGCCGATGTCAGGTATTTCCCCTTTGCTGTCTTCAGGAGGAAAGTTCTGTTCAGGAGAATATTGGCTTTCCCTGGGCAGGGTAAATGGAGGGGAACTGTGATGTGCAGTGTTCATCAGCATTGCTGAAACTTGGATAGGAAAACTAAGGAACGGGTTGCTGAGCATTTGGCGTGTTTAAGTAAGGAAGCTGAAATGGGGAAGAACCTCGAAAGTACTAAGAGCTATTCTAAGCTACATATAGGTCTGTCTAATATCTGTAGGTCATGGCACTACTTCTTATTTGTGTAAAGTACATGCTTTGATATCCCTAGCTAGAAAAGAAATGTTTGCATGTGTTTTGTATCTGGGTAAACTGGTATAGACAGCCTTCCATTAGCAATAATCAGTTCATTTTTTTTTCTGTGATGTCTTAGTATTTTGGATAACTTTTCTGTATGCTGATGTTATTTTACAGTCTTCTGTATTTGGAGATCTAGACCAGAACATGAACCACTGGCACAAATGTTATTTAAACTTTAGTAGAGACATAGCTGTGAAATAATGTTTGTTGAGGTACTACATGAAATGTTGACATGAGATAGTTGCAAATTAATCTGTGTATCCAAACTTGCCAAATTACTACTGCTCAGTTGTCTATGTGAATAAATAGGTTTTCTGGGAAATCATGCTTTAAACATTTGAAAACAAATTTGGGTCATTCTACTGGAGGTCTGGGACATGGGTAGCTGTAACAGTAGTCCTGAAAGGGGCTGTGTGAGGTTATAGACTCACATTTTACAAGTTTTCTGAACCCACTGCAGTCTAATTAGTATGACAAAAGGCAGATTAGGGCTATTTTTAAACAAAGAACAAAAACTGAGGGATTAAGAGGCTTGCCTAGGGTCGAACAGGTGGTCTCTCCTTGAACTGGGAACAGAGCCTCAAGCTCTGAGTCCCAGCTTTGTGTCTTTGATCACAGAGTGGGTCAGGACTAGGTGCTGGTGAATGATTTGTCTATCATGATCATAGAGAAGCTGCAAAGAGCTCTTCTGAGTTTATTAAGGTTTCGTTTGTGTGAAAATTATTGAGAAGATTGGCTCCTGTTGGTGCAAAAGCTTCTGCATCTCTAAGTCTGGTTTCTAGAAGACTGGCACTTTTTGCTCTTAATGTCTGTGCATACAGGTTTTTAAGAAAAAGCATCATTTAATAAGCAGAATATTTACTGATTTCTGTTGCTGTCACTGAATTTTTTAGTTGTCACTTGTCTAAATCATGCTTGATGACCAAGGATTTTATTTGTCGTGTGAGTTTTTTCTGTTGTGAGTTTGGAGGTTTTTGGCTTTTGTTGTTTATTTTTAATCTGTTGGATTTTGTTTACACTCTCGAGAAAAAGTCATCTCACCAAGGGAGAGGAAAAAGATTTTGTGTTTGGGTCTTTTTGGCATTGTGGGTTTTTTTCTTTTGCATGTTTTCACTATGCGGTTGAGTTCAAACCAGGATTGAGAGGACTTAGAGCAAAATACAGGATTTTCTGTTTGTCTTGGCAGGTATGTTTTCTTTCTGCTGGTGCTCCCTGTGTTCTATTTGTTTTGGGAAGGACAGCGCTGCATACTACGAAGAGGAGCAAGGATGTGCCTCCAGCACACAGCTAATGAATGAGGGCCACACTGGCCTTTGCTGATGCTCACATGGGGCGGGTGCAGAAGCAGGGCTTATGGCTTTGGTGAGAGGCTGATCTGTGCCTTGTAAGGGAAAGAGAGATGGAAGAAGGGAAGCTTTAGAAAGGAGGAGACACAATAGAAAAATTCAAGTAAATACTGGGTAAAAGAGAAACTGAAACCCCACAGACATCAGTGTTTTTTCAAAGTTTTTTCTAAAAAAAATCAGTAACTGTTCAGATGTGATGCTAACAAGGAAAGAGGAAGAGGGAAAGCCTGTATTCTTCCAATTATTACTTCTTCCTGGTTTGGTTTTCTTTCCTTGTAGTCCTTGGTCATTTATTAAAGGTTGAACATATATTCAGTAGAATATATACATATATATATAGCATATCAAGTGGGAAGCCAGACTTAGTGTAGTATCATAAAGGAGATGGTAAAGTTGGGGCTGCTTCTTTTGTCACCTCACCCTTTTCCTTTCAGTTTTGCTTCTCTGTGCTTTGTGGCCCCACGCTCCTCTGATGGGTGTCTGATTGACTCAGGCTTCTCTGTAATTCACTCCTAGTATGTATTTACTGGGTTATGCCTGTTCTGTAACCCTAAATTATATCACTTAAACACTGGCTGTGAACAATGGGGAGACTGGTGTGGATGAGATGAAAGGAGACTCATGAGCTTGTCTGTTGTTTTCCTCCCATGGGAACTGCCAGGATCATTCTGTCTCTCTGAAGATATTGGGCACTGGCTTGTTTAGACCACTATTGCTGTGTAGTTGTGATCCATCAAGTAAATTAGCTTTTAAGCTAATTGGAAAGGTGAAAACAGCCAAATGTAAGTTGAGGGAATGTCAGTGTAGTGTAAAAATTCAGTGAATATGTATAACTGAAGGAACTACAAAAGGCTCAAGGCAGGTCTCAGGGGGCTTTTTTAAATGTTTTGAAGTAGAAAAATCTGACTGAACACTTCCTTACTAGATTATTTCTTCTTTTCACACATAACTTGCCCAGAGCTCTGTTTGCAAGAAAACACACCTAGCAATACATAAAGGATGTTGTGAAATAGCTTTTTGCTAGTTTGAAACCATTTCATGTGTTCCTTTGTGTTATCAAAACATGTTTTGCTTTTAACATTGCTTTTGTAAACAATGGCTATATTATGCTGCTGCTGAATTGGACTGATTGTGTTTGCTTACCACATCCCTCAGATGCTCAGAAAGAGTGAAGCGCTTCTTTCGTGGTTTGCTTTCATTTATGGCTGGCTTGGATCTTATTATCTATCACAAACATTTTTGTAGGTGGTGGGCTGTCATGCGGACTGGTTAGAGGGTGGTCACAAGACACTGTTGTTCCACATGTAGTTTGTGGGTGAAGTCAGCTCATTTCTTACAGGCAACCCTTTTGTTAAAACACTTGAAGACTTTTGTAGTGCAGCCTTGCACTGAGAAAAAGAGGAGTAAGTTAACTTTGGGTTGTCTGCAGCCCCTAACTAAGTGTTGTGACTGGTGGTATTAAAAAAAACAAAACAAAACAAACAAAAAAAACCAAACTAAAATCCTGATCAGGTTCGTTTTTTATTTCTATACTGAAGACTAAATTTTCTCAAAATTGCAGTCCTGACTCTTCTCCTGAGCCAGGAATTTTCAGGACAATGACTTTTTTATATATTTCGTAGGTTTGTGAGTGAATGAGTGTTTTCATGCCTCAGGGTCTGCAAAGTATGGAAAACTCTGATTTTGAAAGCTATGGGAGAAACTTGTGTATTCTTTGCATAGCATCTAGTTGCAGAAGGTTTGCTTTTTTCTGATACAGTGTAATGTCTAGGGTGTCTAAAATCCTGGGAAATGAAGCTGTTTGTAATTTAGAATGCATAACTCTGTGTTAGTAATACAAATTATACTCCTTGCTGTTGCAGGAGACTGCAATGTCTCTTGTCAGTAGGGAGCTAAGCTCTGATTTCCCCAAAGCACGGCCCTTATGAGAAGCACATGGTGATCCCTCGTAACGCTCCCTATATGAAGAGTCTGTTGCATAAACAGAGAGAAGGTAATTCCATCTGCCTCCTCCAAAAGAAATTTCTACTGAAAATGCTAATGCAATATCTTGCAAGCAATGGCAAGGTGATACCACCAGCAGTTCTGATTTCAAACTACAGAAAAAGCTGAAGTATCAGCACTGAGGTACAATATTTGCATGTTAAACATGTAAAAGGCATTCCTGTAGGAAAAGAGAGTTACCTGTCAAGAAAAGGAAAGCAAATTAAACAGGTTAGATCATTAGTTAGTTAACTATATTTACATGCCTCTTGTGAATTTAAAAATACAGAAATTGAACCACTCTGCATACACTTAATTTTGTTGTAATCTCTCAGCATAAGCATGCATATAATCATCTTAAATGAGAACCTTTTATGTTATTATAAATAAGTAGAATTCCTGTTGAAGTGCTCAGACGGAATACAGATTATTGGAAAACTAAGTGCTCAGCTGAGGAGAAAGACCATCTTCTATGGTGCCTTGCACTAGTTTATAGGGACAGGTGGATATGTGTCTTTTATATGAAAATGCAATCTGCTCTCTTGGCAGTTCTCTAGTGAAAAAATTGTTCCAAGTGCAACAGCCTGATTTCTTGAGGAGTTATCTTGTATCTGCTCTCTCTTCTGTCATCAGAAGGACTCCATCCCTCTTCTCTCTCCCAGCCCTCTATCTGCAGTGCCTGCCCCAGCCCCTGCATCCGCTAACCATTCCTGACAGCTCTGCAGCAGTTGGCATCTTTCCTTGATCCCTA